GACTGCAGGGAGGTTGGGGTGAAACCGGGGTGTGGGGATGTGTTAGGAGGGTGAAACCTCCAGGGGCCTCTTCTCTCTTCAGTCTTGGACACAGCCTGCTGCGCCCCACCTGAGTGACCCACGGGGCAACTGGCTGTGTGGCCAGCCTAAGCTGAGGACAGAACCCCACACCCAGCTGTCAGGGGTGGGGAGGACACTCTCAGGATGAGAGGCGACTGAATTTCTGGCAAAGCTTGAGCCTCTCTCTACTGAAACTGGCCTGACAGGTTGGTGTGAACGGCTGCCCAGGCCTGCGCTGGCTTTGCTCCTCCTGGGGGAGGGGGCCTCTGGGAGGCCCAGAATCCTCCCGCCTATTTCAGGCCCTGGCCCCTCCACTTCACTGTGGGTGGCTGTGCGGCCGGAGGGTTCCCCTGAGAGTGGGGCCAGCCCGGCCACGCCCCCAGCCCCACGCAGACCCACCTTCAGCCTGGGCCGGCGAGGTCTGCTCAGTCTGCAGATGAGACACTAGGCCCGGGCGCAGGGACCGGATGATTCAGGGGCTGTTCCAACACTCGGTCGCTGCGGGTGGAACGTCCCAGGAGGACCCCTCATTCACAAGAGAAACCTGGAGGGACTCAGGGAGATAAAACCAGCATCCAAGGCAACTTGCCTGGAAGTGGCCCGTCCTTGCCATTTTGTGTAGCAGTCCAGGGGCAGATGGGCAGCTGGGACCCCTCAAAGCTAGCTCTGTTCTGTGCCTCACCTCCCCCCAGTCCCTTGTCCCCCCGAGCCTCAGTTTCCTTCCTGTGGGGTATAGGTGATGTTTAGACCCACTCCCAGAGTTGTGGTGAGCACTGCGTGAGGCACCCAACCCTTGTCCATCACCAGCACCCGTCAGGCACCCTGGGACATCTCCCCTCTGTTGGCAGTGAAGTTGCTGGGCTTCTTCGGGGCACAGCAGCTTTCTCTCCAGGCCACTGCACCATGTAGGGGGCAGCCTGCCTTTGGCCACTCCGTGTGTGCTCCCGGCCCACCGGGTGACTCAGATCTGGGGGTGGAGTAGACAGAGGTCGTCGCAGGCATTTGGGGAGTCACAAGGGCACTAAGACCCAGGCTGAGGCAACCAGGAACTTTACGCACCCCTGGCAGGGCCATGGTGACTTGGAGGAGGCGTGGCATCGGGCCCTGTAGCCGGCAACAGAGAAGGCGCCAGGCTGGGTGCCTGGGCACCACTCCCAGGAGAGTCCTCGCCTACTTCCTGCCTGCTCACCAGCACCAGCTCCATTCCACGGTGTTTGCTTTCTACCCTTTCCTGCCTCGGGCTCCTCACGCCTTCCAGCTCTCCAGGCGCCAGCACTGGAGGCCTCTAATCTGCAACCTCTAACGGCCTGAAGGTCGGGAAGCAGGAAGGTGAGCACCGTTTCTAAAACAAGGATTGGAAGGCTGTGAATGAGGGTCAGAGGCGCTGTCCTGTGAGGTTAAGCAAAGGTGCGGAGAGCATCAGGACACTGGCATCGCAGGCGCTGAGTGTCCCAGAGTCAGGCCATCAGGCAAGGGCGTGTTTTCATCTGAACCGCTCTTCCACCCACTTTTGGTGGGCAGGACCCTGAGCGAGGGGACAAGGTCCCCCAACCCCACATGACCCCACTCCACAGACCCTGCGTGCCAGCTAACAGGCTATTAGCTCCAACTCAACCATCTGCCCACTGCACAGAACGAGCCCACCCCGGGCCTCCCTGTGCAGGAATACGAGCTGCCCAGTCACACCCTGGTGCCTCAGCTCTCCCTGTACCTCCTCCCTAGGATGACCGGCAGTGACTTCTCTGGCCGTTGGTCTCATCTCAAAAGATGCTGCCTCCAGGAGTGGTCCACAGCACCCACCCTCCTAGAAGACTCTGCTTTCAATCTTTAATTGGCATCTCCTGCTTATACATCTGAGGCCTGGTGCTCCTCTGCCACCCCCGGCACCGGCCTGGGCAGTGACCCAGCCGCAGCCCAGTGGGCCTTCACCTCCTGCCTCCATCCTTCCGGGGGAGCCAGGAGGAATGAGAAGAGCAAGGCTGCACCCTGTCCCCTCCACTCTGCAATGGGCCTCCTGGCAGGGCCTGCTCAGCCACATCAGGTTCCTGGGCCTTGGATGACCCCCATGTAAAGTGGGATAGTGAGAATAAGTTCAAAGGGCACAGAACCGTGTACAGAACTCAAAAGGCCCCACTCAGGGCCCCACAAATAAAAGGTACAATTTTATTGTCATCATAGAAAAATCAGTGGAAGAAAAAAGACTACCAAACTGTGTTGTTGTTGTTTTTTGTTATAATAATTATTTTATAAAGTCTTATCAGATATGTATCTTTCCCTGTCGCAGGGGACAGGCAGGCACCTTCCTGGGCAGGAAACGAAGCCAGCAGAGCGGAGTGGCAGCAGCAAGACCAGCTCTGTGCAGATGGGGCCCTGCCCTGCCGGGGCTGAGCGTCAGGCTCTGCTGGGTGCTGAAGCTTTGGCTCCATTTTCTTGTCCATTTGTCCACTCTCCCAAAACAGGGCTGGTGCAGAAGAGGGTGGACACATTCCCAGGTGGGGAGCCAGCACCAGGACTTCCATGACTGTCTTGGGTCCAGCACCCTGTCTCAGGATAGAGGTCTCCGCAGGGGGGAACCAGAGAAGCTTGGGCAGAGCTGGGGTCTCCAGAGCACTTGGGGCCCAGGGCAGAGAGGTGGGGTTGGGTCCCCCCTGAGACCAACCCAAGGATAATAAATAAATAAATACTGAATAGCTGTGCAGTCTCCAGCCTGGCCTGCTCCCCAACCAGGGGACCGTCACTGTCAACCTCAGTTCCTCTAGCAGCCATCCTCCTGAGAAAGTCAGGCTGGAAGGAGGAGGCCTGCCCCACCCTGCGACCTGAGCATCCAGGCGGCAAAGTCTACATAGTTCAGGAGGCTGCAGCAGGCGTGTGGGGACCCAGGCCCAGCCCAAGGGGTAACACAGGATCCTGCCTGTCTCCCTCTTTTCTGACACATGGCTCGCCACCATGGAGCTACATGTGAGCTGGGGGTGCGACCTCCAGGTTGCAGGATGCTTCCCACGACTCCTTGCCCTGCCCTTCCTCCTGCTGACTCTTCCTAGTCCAGCTGCCAGAAGCCTGTGGGCACCAAGATGGCTGGAGGAGAGACAGCGAGAGCCCAAGTCCAGCTGGGGCCAGTGTCCCCTCCAGAGGACAGCTGGATGAGGCCAGGATGCTGCTCGGCCGGGTCAGAGCTGGAAGGGGTACTGTCGGAGGTAGTCGGCCATGCGCCGGGGCAGTGGCAGGCAGTCCACGTCGGGCACCAGGCGGTTGATGACCAGGCGACACAGGTGCTGCAGGCTGCGGGCACTGCTCCTGCGCACGAAGGGCTGCACCAGTTTCAGATGCACCGCGGTAGCTGCGGGGGCTGGCAGCGCTGTGTCACCAGGCGCCTCTTCCTTAGAGACAGGCAGGGCGGGCGTGGGGGCAGGGTCAGGGCTGTCGCTTCGGGTGTCAGCAGCACAGGAGGCCACGTAGTGCTGCACAAGGCTGACCACATCTGGGAAGGCCAGAATGCGTGGCCGGGACAGGCAGTTGGAGTCCAGGCGGAAGCTGGAGTCGGCGTACTCAATGCGCACGTTGGTGGGGCCACGGGTGGTTTTGACCGACAGTGTGAACAGGTAGCTGGGGTGGGTGCTGTCACGTACTAGGAATGTCCCCTCTGGCATCTTCTGCAGGTGCTGCCGGGCCTCGCTGGCAGTAATGGAACCCCAATACCAGCCTAGGCAAGTGGAGAGGGGGCCAAGAGATTGGTCACAGTGGAAATTATGCGGGGGCACCAAACTAGGACAGGACTGTCTCTCCCCTTCATGCTTCCCCAGGAAGGGCTGGACCTCCCCCATCAGACTCTTCTGGGCAGGGCTATGCCTCTTGAATCAGGTTTAACAGTCAGAGCTATGCTTCCTCTTTCAGACTTGCCAGATCCAAGCCTGCCACCTTCCTCAGACTTACCAGATTCCCGAAGGTAGGAAAAGGTCTTGGCTATGCAGAGCAGATCTTCCTCTGGGTCTAGCACCTTGGGCTCATTCTCTGGCTGGGCTGGGGTCTCCTCTGCTACCTCCTCCAGGAAGGCCCCGGCAGGCAGAGGCCGCATAGCTGGCTCAGGCTGGGCCCACAGGGGCCGCTGCCCAATCCGCTCCACAGCCAGCAAAGGACAAGATCTAGAAGTGGGTAGGTGGGCAGTGAGTGGGAGCCCTGCACCCTCCCACTTCCAAAGACCCCCATGCCCCAGACCGGCTACATGACTGTGTCCAGTCGATCTCACTATGAGCCTTAGCTTCCCTTCTGCCCACCCGTGGGCTCAATGAGTCCAGGACCCCACTTCCCAGTTATCATCACAAAATTCCCCTTGATTGCTTCCCTACATGTGGGTTCTCTTCTGAAAGAGACTCCTCCTCTCTCCTGTTGAACAGTAAGTCATTGCTCTATTTTGCATCAATCAAAGCCACAGATCATCCCCTGTAAGCATTTCTAACTCACAGTGGCCACTTGGTGTCCCCACCACACTGACAGGATTCAGTGCAAAGATGCCTGAATCTTTGGTGCCTTCTTGGCTGAGGTGGGCTGATTAAATGGCACTTGTCCTGGCTGGGCCATGGGAGGGACCTAGGTCCATACCAGGCAGGGGTTTAAACAGATCACTTTCCTATCCTGCCCTCTGCTCCTCCCAGCGGAGGGTCCGGCGTGGGCAGTGGCCCCTAAAGGCTCTGGCAAGTACTACCTCCCATAAATATGAGCTCCTGACCAAGGGCAGGGTACTCACCCCCCCATTTGAGGTCCCACCCTGGGAAGCCAGCCCTGCTTGGCTCTGACCTTATGCAAACCTTGCTCCTCACTAGAGTGGTTTTCCCACTCACAGGGAAGGGCCCTAGCAGCCCAGGTACTGCGTGCTTTGGCCACGCCATGTCCTCGGCTGGCCAGAGTTGGGTTGCTGAGCCTGTCCCAATCTGAGCAGTAGCTTCTTTCTAGTAGAAGCCCACCCAGCAGGATGACCCTGGGCTTCCTGGGAGTGAGGGACATGGCCCTGGTTCCCAAGGAAGGGACAGCTGGTCCTCCCTCACTGCTCACAAAATGCATCCTTAGGCCTCAGCTCTGGGTCTGGCCCTGCTGGCCCAAGATAATGAAATTATGGGCCCAACCCTCAAGGAGAATTTAGAATCCAGTCATAAAGCAAAGGGTGTCACGGGGGAGACAGGGTCTCCCTGCTCCTAAGCCAAGCCTGCCAGGCTAAAAGAAGGGGTTCGGGGAAGAGAAGGCCCTCCAGGCAGAGCTGACAGCATGGGCAAACAGCGCCAGATATTGCTCAGGAGGCAGGAAGAGATGGGCAGGGGCCAGAAGCAGGAGCCATATCCAACAGCGAAGGTTAGAGGTGACCCTTAGAAGACTTTAACAAATAAGAGCCCATAAGTACTCATGAGTAGAAGGGGCCACAAGACCCTGGCATACCACAGCCTGCCTCATACTTCTCCACACCCGCTCTGGCTGCACTCGGGGGGCCTCTGGAATCCCCCTCAGGGAGCTGGAGGCTGAGTTCCAAGGAACTGGCTGGTGGCCTCCCTGCTGGGCCCCAGAGCTCAGCTCAGGCCCAGGAATCTTCCTGCGTGGTAGGCAGCTAGCCAGTCAGGCTGGTGCCTCTAGGGGCGGCCACGTCTAGGCAACTTAGCAGGGCACGTGTGGGTGTAGGCAACTCCGGGGCCGACAAGGTGTCTGGGTGTGTGAATGGCTGTGTTGGGTTCACACGCTTCTGGTGACTGACTGTGTATCTGGGGAGGGGTGTGTCTCTGGCTGTGTCATCGGGGCGGGGGCGGGGGCTGGTGTGTTCCAGGTGTGGGTGGCCTGTACATGTGTGTGCCTGCTGTGGAGCCCACCCAGCCTGTGAGTCCTGCCCGGGGACACATGCCAACGGGGAAAACTCACCCCTGTGGGGGGAACCCTCGGTGAAGCTGGCAGCCCAAACTTACGGTTGAGAATTCCACTTCCTACCCCAGGAGGGCCCAGCTGGCCTGTGGCTGTGTGTGTGTAGGTCTTAAAAATCTCGATCCCTGACACCCAACTCTGGCCCTGAGTTTTACCTGTAGCAAAGTGAGAGTGTGGGACCCTGCAGCTGGGGAGGGGGAGTCTGAGGAAGGCAGCGGTGGTGGTGGGCAGTGAGGTGTTCAGGAGTCCCAGAACTCAGGGAGGAGGAAGGGAGATGCCGGAGACAATCAGGGGCAAGTACAGAAGTACATTCTTCCTGGCACCTCCAGGTCTCTTCCTTGGAAACAGGACTGCTCAGAGCAAGGGCAAGGGGCATTTCAGCCCTGCCCCACCTTCCACCCTTCCTCACTTGGTACCACCCAGTTCTGATAACAGCAGCCACTGGGCCACCGGGCTCTCCCCCGGGCTTTCCGAGCTGTCAGAGCAGTCTGGGGCGCATCAGGCCCCTCCGCTGGAGGTGACGCCGAGGCTCTGGGCGTTCTGGGCGTTTGGAAAGAATGCGCCAGGAATGCTCAGCCGAGGCCAAGACCGTCTTATCAGCCCCTACCCCACCCCTGCAAGTCTTTGGGAAACTTGGAGAAGGGAGGCAGGATCCTAGACTGGGCTGTGAGGAGGGGTGAGGCAACTGTGGGGCGCCCCAGGCAGGACCAGGACAAAGCCAGGCTCTCCTAAGAGCTGCTGGTTGGTAGATGCCAGCCTGAGGAGAGGCAAGGATCGCAGGCGGGTTCCCAAGAAGAGTCTAAGTGCTAGCCCGCGGCTGGAGAGGGGATGGCCAGGCGGAGAGGGGCAGGGGCTGGCTCAAGGTCACGGGCAGGCCAGGGTAGACGGCGTGCCCTGGGCGGGGGAGGGGGTCTGGGCTGGCGAGCCACGTCGCCCAGGAGGCGCTGCCCTCGGCGGCTCCCCGCTCCAGCCAGAACCCAAGCTGAGCCCCCCTGCGTTCCTCCCGTCGCCAGCCGGCCCCCAGTTTCCCTACAGGGGCGATGGTGCGGTCACCGTGCCTCTCGTCCCTCCCGATGTCCTTCCGCGCTCGGGCCTGTCCAGCCGGCCAAGCCCTCCGGCACGCGGCGGGCACTCGC